GGGTATGGGACGAGATAGTTGCGACATGGCAGGATCGTTGGACATCCTCCGCGGACGGCAGAGAGCTGCATCGTTTCTTCCCCGAGGTAGGTGTGCGGTTGACGTCTACGTGGGTCGAGCCGGACTACGAGACGTCCCAGATCCTCACTGGACACGGCTGCTTTAGGAAGCGTCTGCACGCCATGAAGCTCAGTGAGCGGAGTGGCTGCGACTGCGGGGCTGAAGACGAGGACGTCCACCATGCCCTGTGGGAATGCCCGCTGTACGGCGACGCGAGGATGGTGATGCTGGACGGCATACGTCGAGGCAACGGTGAGGAGGGACCAGCCTACTACCAGGATCTCGTGTCTTCGGTGGAGAATTTTAGACGGCTACGGGAGTTCGCGCATCAGTGGCATAAGAGGCGGAGCAGGTCGGAGAGGATGACACGTGGAGCGGAATCTGGAAGCACAGAGGAAGACATTCGGGAAGATCCGGAAGAAGATGGAGTGTTGCCCGGCACCGAAGTCTCAACTGCTGTTGCTGTGGAGTCCACTGCCCCAGAAAGGGGAGAAAGTGCACTAGGGACAAGGAATGTAGATTAAATAACTTGTAGGGAGTCAAGAGAGATGCGCGAAAGCGCACCTCCCGCGTTTCGGCCAGTATAACCGTGAGGTTGGAATGGCCATGGGTTGGTTGGAGGGTTTGTACCTTCCGGGAAGACGTCCCGGAACTTCGACGCGAGCGCGTCGGCCTGGTCTCCCGTCTGGGACCCTGGGATCTCTAGGATCCGGGCCCCAGTGGCCGCGGTCTTAAACCGCAGACTGATTATGCCCAAGGAGGCGAGGTCAATCTTGTCCTTCGCCTCCTTGAGGACCTTTGAATAGGTCATTCCCGCCGCTTCCGCCTCCGGACAAAGGGAGACAACTACCGAGCGCGGTGCGCGCAATTTTGATGGTGAGGGCGGGGCCGGTTTGCCCTTCTTCCCCTGAGAGGGGGCCCCAGAGCTCCTCTGAGTACCTTGAGTACTCTGGGTCTGCCTCTCAGGGACGTTGCGATTTTTACCGCCCCGTCTCACCACCGTGCTCCAGCCATCGTTTGCGCGCCCCGCGCCCGACGGCCCCGGCTGTTGACTACCGGAGGTCGGCCGGCTGGTCGGTTGAGCCGCTGGAAGCGGCGGGAATTCAGCACCTCGCGCCCCGCGCAAATGGGGGGCGTCCCTGAAGCCCGGTCCCCCTGCGCCAGGGATGCGGGACAGAACCTCATACTGCCCATCGCTCTGCAGCGGCGGGCGGTGTACCGGGCGGATCGACGCCTCCTGAAGGGAATGAACCTTTTGGATCATTTCCTTCAGCTCCTGGAAACGGGCGTCGACCATAAACCCGGTCGAGCGCAGAAGTTCCGCCCGCAGTTCGTCGGTGTCTATCACTGACGCCGGGGCCGGGCCAGGTGCCCTCACCCTCGCAGGCCCCTGTGGTGCCTGGGAAGCAGCTGAGGGAGTCTGTGGTGTCCTCGCCGCGAGCTGCTGCATTTGTGTTTGGAGCGCCTGGATCTGGCGACGGAGCTCCTTATTTTCTTTATGGAGCTCCCCAATTCGCTTCTCCATATAACCTAAAAATGTACTGTTCTAACCTAACTTATGCTACAAATAACCTAATTTAAATCTAAAACTTAAAATTAGGGCGTCTATATCACCAAAACAATGTTACTTATAACTACGACTCACTGTTTATGCGTCCTTTCGCCAAATTGCACTGCAATCCAAGTTTATTGCACTGTCACTGTCACCACGTGTCCCGATACACGTTTCCCGCTTTCCCAATGAGGGAGAGAGGTGTTCGTGTACTAAGTAGATAATTAAAAACACGGAAAAAGGGGGAACAAACTCCCGAAACTTCCCGAAACTCCCGAATACTGCGGGGATGCAAAAATTCGCGATGAGTTTACTACGGTACCGTACGGAGCAACGATTGAACACGTCCGCGCGCTACGACGGCCGGCACCGAAGTAGATAGGGACAACCCTCCACCAACCCATGGCCATTCCAACCTCTCGGTTATACTGGCCGAATCTGCGGGGAATGCGCGCTGAAAAGCACGCATTCTCTTGACCCCTACAAATTATTTCTACTCCAGTCCCTTGTCGCACTCTCCTCCTTCTGGGGCAGCGGACTAAACAATCACAGCTTCGGTGCCGGGCAGCGCTGCTTCTTCAGCAGTATCCTCTCTTCTTGAACACGTACCACCGTCAGTCCTCTCGTACTCGCTTCGTCTCCGGTGCCACTGATGCACGAACTCCTGCAGCCTCCTAAAATTCTCCTCCAAAAACACCAAGTCCGGGTAGTACAGCGGACCCTCTCCTTCGCCCTCACCGCGACGTATCCCCTCCACCAGCGTCCCCCTGAGATCGGAATATAGGGAGCACTCCCACACAACGTGGTGGAGGTCCTCTTCCGATTCCCCGCAACCGCAGCCGCTCGACTCGTAGAGTCTCATGGCGTGCAGTCGCTTACCGAAGCAGCCGTGTCCAGTCAGGATCTGTGACGTCTCGTAATCGGGTTCGACCCACGGAGACGCCAACCTAATAGCCACGTCCGGAAAGTATCGGTAGAGCTCTCTTCCATCCGCGGAGGAGTGCCAACGCTCCTGCCATTCCCCGACTATAGGCAGCACGGATTACCTCCACGTCCGCAGGCAAGACCCCCCCCCCCCCCCCCCAGTACTGGTAGCGCCGCCGTACTCACGCTCCTGTACGCTTTCGTAAGGAGGATGAGAGACGGTCGTTGCAGCCTCAGGACTATGCTACGTACGACATGGAGACTAATTCTCTCATGCCATACGGGTGCAGCATACGTCAACGTGGCTACGTAAGTGCCCTTGTAGAGAGTGCGGAGGGCCGGATAACGAATGCCCCAGGAAGACGCCGATACTCTCGACATCTTCCCGAAACATTTGGCCGCTCGCTCTTCAATCGTTGTCGCATGCTGCACGAAGGACATCCTGTCGTCTAGCGTCACTCCAAGGATGGTTGCCGCCGTGACGGTCCGGACCGAGTCGCCACCCATCCTGATGACTGGGGGCCGCTGGAGCTTTCCCTTTACGGTCATCGTCATGGACTTGCCTGGGGAGAACTCCAGCCGATTACGGGCACCCCAATCGAGGACGAGCGAGAGCGTGGCTTTCGCCTTGCTCTCGATGCTCGCTCGAGAATCGGCTCCGATCAGGACCGTAACATCGTCCGCGTACGCAACCATCCTTACTCCCTCAGGTAACGGGAGACGAAGCAGGTCATCCATCAGTAGGTTCCATAACGTCGGACCCAATACCGAACCTTGTGGACATCCCATGGTGCATTCCTTCCACAGCACCTGGTCACCGGTGATGAGGCACACGCGGCGGCCAGCGAAGTAGCCGCCAGCATCAGAATTATTAAAACCGCACCTGCACCGCAACCTCCAACTACAATACAAAAACCCGATGGGATTTTCACCCAAACCCCAATTGAAACAGCCGAAGCTATTCTCCATAAATTTTTCCCTGATGATACGCCGGACACTAGGCAGGCCCACCTGGAACATAGAATACAGTCAAATCTACCCCCTCCCAATACCCCTAATGAACCCCCTTTCACCATAGATGAAGTCCTCCTAACTGCTAAAGAAAGCAATCCAAAAAAAGCTCCCGGACCTGATCACCTTACCGCCGACATCATTGTTGCAGTCGTCGAATCCATTCCTGAAGTAATCACCGCCGTCATGAACAGATGCCTTGCGATAGGACATTTCCCTACGATTTGGAAGGTAGCACGCATCAAACTCATCCCAAAGAATGGTCAACAGAGTAACGCCAATAGCCTTACCTCTAGACCAATAGGTCTCCTCAACATCCTAGGAAAGCTATTGGAGAAACTCGTCATGCAACGCCTCACTCATCACATCTACACCACAAACGTCAACAATTCCCGTCAATATGGGTTCAAACCCCAAGTCTCCACCACACACGCTTTAGATAATGCCATCAGCAAAATTAGAACAGCCTCAACATCCGGCTACCAAGTCCTAGCCGTATCCCTTGATATCAAAGCCGCCTTTGATCACGCTTGGTGGCCTAACATCCTAAATAGACTTAGGCTCATCGGCTGCCCCAGAAACGTCTACGCTGTTCTGGCCAGCTATCTGAGGGACAGAACAGTCTCATTAAATCTGGCAGATGCCTCAGCCGCCAAACCACTGTCGAGAGGTTGCATACAGGGTTCTGTATGTGGGCCGGCAATGTGGAACCTGGTCCTGGACGGGCTTTTCGACCTGAGCCTTCCGGAAGGATGCCATCTTCAAGCATTCGCTGATGATGTGCTCCTGATCGTTCAGGCGAAAAGCGCGGCCAGACTTCAGGAGACCGCGGATGAGGCTCTGCATCAAATTCACAACTGGGGTTTAGATTCCAAACTCTCATTCGGACCATCCAAAACTGTCGCCATCACCTTCACCAGTAAAGCCCGTAAGTGCCGTATCCATATGGACGGTCACATCATCCCATTTCATAACCATATCAAACTACTCGGAGTCATCATCGATCGCAAACTCACCTTCATCCAACATGTCAATCACACCATCGACAAATGCACAAAACTATATCATAAAATCATCAAATTCATTCGTCCCACATGGGGTGTCAGCCCCGGAAACATTAGAACCATCTACCATCAAGTCATTGAACCCATCATCTGTTATGCTTCCGGAATTTGGAGCTCAGCGCTCAAATTCAAACTCTGCCAATACAAACTCACCTCATTGCAACGATCATTCGCTATCACCATCATCAGAGGGTTCAGGACGATCAGCACACCCGCGGCTATCGTTCTGACCGGTCTTCATCCCATATGTGGCAGAGTTCGGGCGGCTGCGCAGGCCGAGCTTGCTCGGGTGCGCAGTAGCCGGAATTCTGCCACATGACATTCCACTCGATTCACCCACTCCACCATCCGATCTCCTACATCCTAGGCAGAGAAGGGGAATCTCCTTCATGGAAGCCGACTCTGCCGAGGAACTCACCCACATTCTCGACCCCACCTCATTCACTTGCTACACCGATGGTAGTAAGCATCACGGGAAGGTCGGTGCAGCGGTCGTCATCCGGAACCCGAGCGGCTCTACAGTTCTGAGCAAGAAGCTCAAACTGCATGATGTCTGCTCGGTGTTTCAAGCGGAGATGGCCGCCATCGATCAAGCATGCCAACTCATCATCACGAAAAAACTGTCACCCGCAATCATCCTCACGGACAGCAAGTCATCGCTGATGGAACTGTCCAATCATAACAGCACCAACCATCTTTGTAACAACATTTTTAAATCACTCCATCTAGCCAAACATCACAACATCAACATTTCATTCATTTGGATTAGATCACACATCGGGATATCTGGCAATGAGGAGGCCGACCTCGCGGCCAAATCAGCAGCCAACTCCCATTCATCCCCTTCATTCTCCAAATTCCCCCTCAGCTACATAAAACATCACTTCATGCGGTTAAGTAAAGCCGAACTAGAGGACTTATACGACACGACAGACAATTGCCAGTATACCAAGCAGTGGTGCAGCAATTACGCTTAGCTGCTGCTTGTGATACAAGCCTTCCCTCCAAACTTTCATTTCACCCAGCTTCTCACCGGTCATTCATACTGCAAATCATACCTCAAACGGTTCGGGATCACCTCGGACGACAAATGCCCTTGCAACGATGATGCTCCGCAAACTATGGAGCATCTCGTCAAGGAGTGTCCGAGGTTTGGTCCCACGAGGCTCGACCATGAGACGGCCTGTAGCATGGTTCGGGTCTCAGAACCATTCCATCTTCCATCCATCATCAAACATCAATCAACCATCGACACTTTCACATCACACATATCATACATCATTCACAACCTCAAACATTTTAATCAGACATAATCACCCATATCATCACCAACATTCCCATACCTCCATCATCATCACTCTCATACCATCATCATCATATCCATACCATAGTCATCCAAACCACCAACGTTTTTATTTTGCTTTTCGTTTTGTTATTTTGTTTTTCGTTTTGTTAT